TGAAAATGAAGTGCTTTACTCTGGTACAGCAAATAGAACATTTCTTTAAACTGGTCTCTAATGCCTTATTAAGCAAATTAACTGGGGTTCCATTGAAAGAAACCACGTTATCCATAGCAGCACTCAGGACACGTTTGAACTTCTTTGTGCATCAGTGACACTTGGTCTTAATAGTACAGCAGATCTCACTGCAGAGAGTGTTGAAGCATCTGGGGGAATATGGGGAAGCTACAGACACACACTTGAACAAAAAGAAAAGTGCGTGAATGGTGGTAGTAAATATGGGAAAGATGGATGGGTTAAGGGTGGCAGTCACCAGCATGGAGGTAAAGGTACTGAGAATACCCTTTGACATGGGATTTACAGGAGAGGAGGCATGGGAAAAGACCACTGCTGAAGTACAGGTGATTCTGGACTCATGGACATGTGTGGGGGCAGATGAGAACCATGAAAGTAATTCTGTCTCCTATAATACTGTCCACAAGACTGTTTTTTCTGCCATCATGATAGCAAGTGTGTTGATTACAGAGGGCGATGTGCACCTTTTTTTTGAAAGTCCAAAAGGGAAAGGTTAGCTCAGACTGAACCATCTAAGATGGGAGCTCTAAGGATGTGTACTTGTTTATGTAAAGCCGGTGAGTGCATCCTCCCAGACAACGGTAGTAGAGAAGATGAAGGCTGCACTTTTTGCATGGTATTTACCAGAACTATGTTGTGGAAACTGAAGATATATAGGGGATCGATTCTGTGCGTGTGTGCATAGGACACTGCCTTCTTGGCAAAATATAGGCTGGCAAAAGTGGAGCTGCACCTGTTTTAATGCTGCATCTTTTAGTAAAGAGGAACAGGACATAGCTGGGCAACAAATCTAGTGAGTGCCAGGGGACAGTGGCTGACCAAAGAAGGGATGCTGTATGGCATCTTACTTAAAAATGTTACAGAAGACAAAACATGCACCCATTTGCAAAAACATAACTTAAGTTTATGGATGATGTGGAACTTGTTGGTGTTTAAAATCTAGACTTTTATGACCCAAGGCTGTTTAAGGCAGGCGTGAGAAAACTAAATAAGTATAATGGCCACAAATGTGCCCACTATGGGAAAGAGAAGGCAGGCGAGGCCTGGCAGAGCACTTTATTTTGTACAGAAGTGGCAGCTGGGAGCCATGTCGGATAGACAAGGATGAGGAAAATGGACACATTTTCTTTTTGTTTATTAACAGTTGCTTTTGTATACTGGTGTGGGAGGTGGTGGGAATGGAGTAGCTTGAAGAGCATGTAGCTACAAGGAGCATGTTACGTGGTGTGGAAAATTGTTGGGGTCACCTGAGGCCTACAAATATGATGATTAGGTTATGTTAAGTTATAGTTATTGTAATTATTAGTCAGCTTAACCACAGAAAGGAGAATGTACTAGACGTCAGTGTTTTGGTGGGGGCGGGATAGGAGGGGTGGGTACAGAAGGGATGGTTAATGTCTGTTTGTGTTGTGGCAGTATAATACAGATACAGTTTACAGGGGTGTTCTTGCTTGTTATGTTTTGAAGCATGTGATACTTTTGTAGTTTTATTTTTTTTAAAGACTCTCTGGATCTTGTGCTCTTGGTGTTTTGGCTTCAGAGCCTGCTGGGCTGTCCTTCTGGAGTCTGGCTTTCAGGAACTTGGCTCAGCTTTGGTCTCTGACTCAGCCAGAGGCTTGGACTTTGCCTCTGGACTCCTCCCTTGGATGTGTGAACTTGGTCCCTGACTCCAGAGCCCAGAGTCAGCCTGCGACTTGGCCTCTGCCTCTGGAATCGCCCCGCAGATTTGGTAACTTAGACTCTAGCACCTATCTTCGTCTGCGTGGCTGTGGGTCCCCCAGCTTCTGTCTCTAGCCCTCGCTTAGTGGTCTATTCACTAGGCTGGATCGCCTGCAGCCAGGTCTCTACATGTCCTGTAGCACAGCTGACCTAGTATAATCTTGTCATGAAACCGACCGTCGCATTGCTGCCGGGAATCCAATGTTGGGTAACAGTAACTATTATTATCATTTTCTTTGGTGCTTCTTCAAACTCATATTTGGAAAACCCTCCCGTGGCACTAGGAGCGTTTAGTTCTGACTCACGGAAATGCCAGTTCCAGTAATGTCACCGGCTCCCAGAAAATTAAAGTGGAAACACTCTGTGGGAGATTCAAGTTTGTCCTTTATGTTGTTAATCAGTCAGGTGCAAATAGATATCCCTACCCCATGTCACACCCCAAGTGCCCAAAAACATCTGTGCAATCAAACGTAGTCACAGTGTATGATGCTTTTATAGGGGGGGAAGTCTGCTGGCCTGTCCTGCACCACAGGAAGTCTCCTGCAGGGGATTCCACATGTGGAATCCCCTGACAGATGTGTGCCCCAGATCAGGGTGTAGCACCTGGGGCCATTATCCCACAGGATTGGGCCCCTGAAGCCATGGGAGCAGCAGGGTCCAATCCTGCAAGACAGCAGCCCCGGTGACATCTGATTAATTGGATCAGCTGTAATGGAATGCATCCAGGCACATCTGATGCTACGACAAGAACAATGTCTCTCTCTACCTGTATTCTTGAGTCCATCTCTCCCCTTTTCTCTTTTCCACCCCTCTGCACATCTTTCTCTTTTTCCCCTTTTTATCAGTGGTCTGTTCTCCAATCATTTGCCTGTTTACCCTTTCTCTCTGCCTCCAGTTGCTTCCTGGCCCTTTTCTCTCCCTGTCTGTGACTCATTTCACAGGTATTATAAGAGTTAATGAAAACTCTCTCTCTGCTTGAGGCATGCCCATTAGCCAGTCACAATTTTCTCTAAGTTGTTTACTATTGGCTTAAACCTCTATGAGTATTAGTCACTGCTCAAGTGGTGTCAGTTGTGACTGGCAGGTTCGAGAAATAATACCATATAACTTACCTTATTGAAGAATCATGAAAGTACTTCCTGCACAACACAAGTGCATAGAAAATTTGTTAGCACGCATGGTTGCAGATGGGACTCTGAAAATTTCAGTTGGAACCAGAGAATCAGCATTTTTGCACAGCCAAACTTCATCCCTTGTATGAACAGCAGGTCATAGCCCTGCAGTGCTGGGGTGGTAGAGATGTGGTCAGTATCTGTATTGTAGTTAAGCTCCAGTTAATTCTTATTCAGTTGTTTTGGAACAGTTCCCTGTAAAATGGAAAAAAATCTCACTAAGAGCATATTGGTTCTGTTCTGCCGCATCTGTAGTTAGTCTGAAAGGCGACTGATTTCAGAAGAACAATCCCAATCTCTCTGTCAAACAGAGAGCAAATAGCGTGCTTACGGATGTAGTTATCATCATGCTATGCACCCACACAACCGGTGCTTAATGGTCAGGCAGGGTTAGGTGTCTTTTTAGAAAGAAGCATCCATTTGGTCTGGTGTAAAACATATTTGGTGTTTAAAACGGACCCGTCGAGCTTTGCAGCAACTCCCCACCCCCTCGGCTGTGGGAGAGGTGGGCTGATGGCAGAAGCAGTAAGGGGCCTAATCTTTTTTTTTTCTGTGGAGTCTGCCCACATCCTGCAAGCGGCCAGCAGGCCGAGCGGCCCCTGAACTATGGGGAGTCCCGGTCCTTCCCTCTGCAGTGGTGCTGTCCCCTGGGGCCGCTTGGGTGGGCTGCTAGCGGGTGGGTGCTGCCCCAGTTCAGGCTCAGGGAACAGTTGGATCGGGCTGGGTACTGCATCCAAGCTGGGGCAGCACCCATCCGCTAGCCACCTGCCCAGGTGGTCCCAGGGGGCACTGCCACTACAGTGACTGAGCAGCTGCTTAAGAGACTAGGTCTTGTTTTCCTTGTTCTTGGCTTTTACTTATTCAGCTGGTATCCCTGCTGAAGGAGCTACAGGTCTCATGTGTTCTCAAACCTGTCTCCCCCTTGCCAAAGTTATTTGCATCTGCTTGAGACCTGCCTTCACATATCTGTCTTCCTGTGAGGACTGACTCTATCATAAGCACCTTAGGCTAAGGGAGAGAAGGCAAGAAAAATGCCCTGGTTCTTTATGCTCACGGTGTCCTGGTTTGCAGCTGGAAGTGAAGTAGTAATCTGGGGCTCAAACATTTAACTTGTCAGCTCCAAGAGACAGTGCCCCTACCTCCTGGCCTCATGATGGTGAAATTCAAAAGCATGCATTTGTGTCCTCAGTTTCAAGTCAGCTCAGTGATGGTCTGTCTTTATGTCAATGTTGCCAAGCCGTATTCTCCCTGAACAAATAATAGATTGCTTTTGACATGCAAGTAAAATACCATTGAGTTTATGCTCCATTTAAAAATAGCTCAGGAGATGCATTTCAGTTGCTGTTCAAATGTGAATATTTTCTTCACCACAGCTGCCCAGGAGGGCCAGCAATCTTCCTTTTGATAGTTCAGTATTAATCTACTCTATGTTTAGTTCTAGCAATGCCAGTTATTGGTAAATGCTCCAAAATGCATCTTTAATTTATACTTCTAGACCCATTCTGGCTCAATCCCCAAGGTTCTTGCTAAGCTTTCTACTCAAGCAAATCTCAGTGGATTATGGAGAATTTGAAAAAGTCAGAAGTAAACTCTGAATGATATTTGGCTTGGTTCTGTGTTTACCCTTATGTGATCCTCACTTCTAAAGCAGATCCAGGATGTTTTAGTTTTGTCAACCTAGCTAAATGCTAGTCTCCTAGGACAAATGCAATGTTTCTTTGGGTAGGCAAGTGAAATACCTTCAGATTTGCACTTTGGCTGATTTGTATTTGTGGCAGGCTGTCTGATGTTACCTGCTTGTACTTTTTTGCATATTAAACCAAGGAATTCTTTTGAATAGCATTCATCTGTGTCACGGTGTCAGGATAGATATGTCGCTGAAGAGGCTAAATATGGTTGCGGTGGAGGTATTTTTAGCTACTTCAGCTCAGATCTGTGAAGGTCTCACCTTAACAAAAGCCCTGGTAAAGAACTGTCCTTCTCCATGCTGCACTAAGTAAAAAACAACTTTTCGTGTTCTTCCTTCTCCAGCATTCAACATTATCACGCAAGTTCGTGGAGGTGATGTCGGAGTACAATGCCACGCAGTCTGACTATAGAGAGCGCTGCAAAGGGAGGATTCAAAGGCAACTGGAAATCAGTGAGTAAAATCACTTACTAGTAGAACAATGCAGCTTGAGCTCCTGTGCCCAGAGTCAGCAGTCAGGTTCTGGTACTGATTGTCTGTTAATGAAAATGTTGCTGGATTTCAGTGTTTCATGTGATAACATTCATGTTTTCAAAATGTCTTTGTTGTTGACTTGCATTGGATTTCACCTGGCAAGTGACAGAAGAGGGTCTCTGGGCTCATTTACCAACCCTTAGTCACAGTGTGTTAGAACACGTGCTCTGTCCCCCTGCGCTATTCATGGAGAAAGCGTACTGATTCTGTGATTTGCCAACATAGAAAATTGAAGAGCTGGCACTCGCTCTCAGGTGGAATAGACTCCAGTGCATTAGGCACCTCCTCCAACAAATACGATTCCACCCATTGCTGAGGGATGAAGTAACCTTTTAAACTGACCAGGGAGAACATTGAGCCTTGCATTCACATGCATAGTCCCTACCTTATCCCCAGTCTGAGATCACTCGGCCAGTCGGACTCCATATGACATGGCAGCTCCATAGCTGCTGGCCCTAGCAGTTGAAATTAGGGGAGACAGTGAAGTGTGACTTCAGTACCCTACAAGGTAATAGCAAGCATGTGAAAGGGGAAAATAAAGCTGTTTCCTGGCTCAGGCCCTAGACTCTTCCCCACGTTTGGCAGCATTTTTCCTGCTCACAGGCTGCCATCTTCTCCAAGCATGCTGGGAGGCCCTTTATTTTGTGATGCTAACAGGAGAGGCTGCACCAGTGCTACCCTCTTTTGCAAGTGTGGGCGTGTGAGGCCTGGCACATGCTGTAATTGCTTCCATGTTGGCAGCAGGCTGTCAGAGTGCTTGAGAGAGGCATGCATAAGCGTCAATTAATCCCTTCTAAATTAGCAAGAAGAGAATCACTTCCAGTGTGTGGATTGGGTTCAGTGATATATTTATTGCTTAATTAGCTGCCCCGTTTAAGAAAGCTGAGTTGTTGGGTCTTGCAGAGGTGTCTAGCCAATGTCTGTGTGAAGCTGGCATCCTCTCCAAAACTGCCTTTGCTCATCTCCACATTTCTTCTAGTATCAAAGTAGCAGTGAAAGTACATGGTTGCTTTCAAGGCAGAGGACTGTGTCATCCCCGGCATTGAAGAAGGGGTTTCAGGTCCTTTTTGAGGCCATGGCCAATGCAGCTCTGCAAGCAGTGACTATGCACTGTGACTCAAGCATCAGCAGAAGTAGAAGTATTCCTCTTGCTAGTGAGCAGCCCAGCTTTTGTATTTTATTTTTAAAGCCATAAGGGGGGAGAACAGAAAAGATCTTTCCTCTTCTGCATCTAATTTTGAATCCAGACAGATCGTGCCATGTCGATTACTGAACGTCTACATTTTTCTACATTTATATGAAGCTGGCAGATCCAGAGGTAGGAGCAAAATCTGACATTTATTCCATGCCAACTTCCATTTAAGGTGAACCGAAAAGTATATTCAAAATAAATGTAAAAAACAAAATGAGATATAAGATCCCAGGACATTTACTGCTCCCAGTACCACTAAACTGTTATAGGAGAAATATGAATCTTATGCTCAGTTTTAAGCAGGTAGAAGATTTTGAGTTCTCTTCTAATCTAGACCTTCAGTCATTCTCATTAGAAGCTTATTTGGTATTTGCATGTGAGTAGAGCAGCGATTCTCAACCAGGGTGTTGTGGCATCCTTGGGAACCTTGAGATCCTCTCAGGGATGCATTGGGGTGTCAAGCAAGTTAGCACTGCTAAGTATGAAGGCATGATTTATAAGATAAACCCCAGTATTTCAAATAGGAGTCTATAGTGTCAAAAGCAGAGTGACCTGTTGTGGTCTTGCTGAGTTCTTTTCAGTAGAATTGCTCTATTTTTACGCAGTCAAAAAAAGAATAAAAAATAAGAGCTGGCATTTTCTGAGGGTGCCTCAAGTCTAAAAAGGTCTAGACTAGAGTGCTGGTGAGAGCCTTATAGTCGTTCTGGTCCCTGCAGTCAGTGGCAATGCTGACTTCCCACCTACTCATGCTGATGCGTTTCGGGCTGCAAGCAGACATCACCTTTGTGTCACCATTACAGTTTTTATGGTGGTACAAAACTCAAGCAAACAGCCTTTTGTTGCAAAACAGGTGTTTACATTTTGTGATGGCAGCAACCCTAGTCATAGTCTGTGCTGCCTTTTTTGCAGCCAACATATATTCCCTTATGAGAGAACCATGATTTCATCCTAGATATCTGCTATTTCATGGTGCTTTTGTGCATCACTCTACTCTTGGCAAACTTCACACTGCTGTATGTACAGTCTTACTTAGGTGTGCATCCCTGGACAGCATAAGCACTCCCTGGCTTGTCTTTTGTCTTGGGCAACCGCTATCACCTTTGTGAAGTATGTATCTGTCTCCTGACATGGGCTCTCAAATCTGTTAGGATTAGTATCCAGGCCCTTCAAACAAAATTCTGCCTTGCACACACAACTCCTCACTTGCATAGTAGTTGGGGAGCGGGGGGGAGCCTTTAGTGGTATTTGCTGTTTTAGATCTTGGCTAGCCAATACCTGTGAATTGTCTTGGTGCTTGTAGCACCCCATTGTAGTTACTACTTTATTGGATTGCCTGGAGGCTCCCATCAGAAACTCCAAATTATTACAGCATGTTTATAAACTCACTCTTCTGTTACAGTACTCTGGAAGGGCACCTTGCTTAGCAATGATCTTCTTGGGCATTGTATCCTCTGCGGTGAGGATAAGGCAATCTCAGTACTGATGCGCATTGTAGTCGCTTGGATACCCTCATGATGGCTTGTGATCAGACTGCATGTTCACCTACAGCGTCCAAAGATAAAGTGACAAAATTGTTCCGTTTCAGAAGGCACAGACAGGGGCAACTTTCTCTATCTGAGCATATCTCCTCTTGGGACTGTCAGGCTTCTGCTTGCAAATGATGCGAGCTTTTAGCTTTGCATCAATGCTGCTCCTAGGTCTCTTTGTGAGGCATCATGCTGCAGCTCCAGCTGTCCTGCACAGTTGGAGTGCTTTAGGACTGGTTACTTGCTTAGGAGTTTCTTTACTCTTTCAAATGCTTGCTGTAGGAATTCCCTTGCTGCATCATTTTCAGCTTGTTTGGGTGTGGGTAGATCTAAACTGGAAAGATAGCTGGCCCTTCCAATGAATTGCTGGACCTCCTTCTCCTTTTTCTTCAGTATTTCCTTAATGTGTCTGTTTTTCAAGGTCCAGCCAGAGTCCTTCAGAAGTTTACGGCTCCTCAGTGTAGCAGACCTCAGCAGTCCTGAGCTTCAGCTCATCAGCAGTCAGACTAATACTCCAGCCCTGAACCTGGTTAATACTCTGCTTAGGGATGTGGTCTTGGGTGACCTCTTCTTTGGCATCATCTTCTCCTGCTGTAAAAATGTCACTGGCTGCAGGCTTGATTCCGGAGAACTCCTTGTCTGTAGGCCAGCCTCATTCATACCCAGCACTACTTGGCCACAGGCCCGAGGCAAAGGCTGTCAAGTGGCTGGATGGTTCATCTAGCTCAGTGTTGAATGGGGAAACAATACCTCATTTACCGCAAGTAAATGTGGTAATATGGTTTTCAGGTATAAAATCTTGTAGTCACTGTGTTTATTGGCAATTAGTACCATCCCCTCCAGCCGGAGGAACAAGCTGATTCTAGGGAGACTCCCAAACCCCTCCGCCTTTGTTCACAGTACAGATTTCTGCTGCAACAATGTTAGTTGCAGCACAAAGCATGGCTGTGCCAGGAGAAGCAAAGTCACATGGTTGCTGCCAGAGCTCAGTGCACTTGGGTGCGGGCATGGTTTTAGTCTTCCAGCACCAAGCAGCACTTTGCTAGTGTGAACTACATCTGCATTACCAGCACTTTGCCAGGTATTGTACTGGTGTTCTGGATCAATAGAGCACTCCCCATGGAGATGCATCCTGGGAGCAGGAGGGGAGTGAGGGACCTGAGAGGCTCAGACCTTTTAGTGAGCAGTAGGCCCAGGCAGCTCACACAGAAGTAAATAAGCATCTTCTAGGGGTCCCCTTGGGCTTCTCCCTGCCAGCTCGTCCAGCTGCTGCTGAAATCTTGTTCGAAGCAACAGTCTCTATTCTCTTCTCAGCAGCCTTGCTGCCTTCCCTTCCTCCCTCACTGGGCCTGCTGTTGTTCCCCATGACGTACAGTAGCCCCCACACTATCTAAAAGTGTGTTCGATTGGAGCAGCAGGATCCTAACAGAGGAAGGTACCTCAAAGCCCCTAGTGCACAAAGCCCTGCCACCATTGGCTGTTGTGGGGAAGCAGTGCTATCTCATAGCAATCAGATGGTAAGAGAGTTTTCAGGAGCAATCTCCCAGATGGAGAAGCATCACAGGTACTTTGTGATCTAGACCTCAGCAGTTAGAAACATAGACGAAGCACAGTCCAAAGCTTCATTTCCACAGGAAAACCAGAGCGTCATCCTCCTCCAGGAAGCCTGGCTCCTCACCCGCAGCCAGTGTGAGTGAGGGGAATTCCTCAGAGCATCAGGCTGTAATTCTTAAAGAAATCTGCCAGATGGTTTAGACATGGAAGTGCCTCTAGAATAATGCAAAGCACATGCCCCCTCCTCAGGAAGCCCTATGGTCGAAGTCTGCTACCCTGGTCAATGGAAAGCAGATCCTGCAGGAACATTTCTTCCCCTTTAGGACTTTTCTATGTTTTGTGTAGTAATAGTATGAATATATCGTGTTGTAGCTTAAGAAGATTTTGTAATGCGGACAAGCTGTAGGGCAGTGACACTCGGTCCTCACTGACTCATCAGCCATGTGAGCAGTCAAGATTAACCCAAGAGCTGCAGCAACACATACATCCCTAAGCAAATTGTGGCAAACATGCTCCAGTTCGAAAGAAATGTATGCATCTTGACTGGCATTGTGGTGCGTTAATTAGCAGAAAAGCCAGGAGCTATTTTTCCCTGCTTGGGACAGTGATTTGGAACAAATGTATGTATAGCAGCAGTGTCCAGGAGT